ATATCTGGCGTTTGGTTAAAAATTCCAAAATCAAATCTATTTTAATTTAGCCTTGTGTATTTGTGTTTCGAATTTAGTGATTCATTTGTTTTGTATAATAAAATATTCACAAGTAGTTACTTGTATTCAAGTTCATTTTAATTAAATCAGCTTTAAAGTATGGCATTCCTTAAAGAGAAGATAATAGATATTATTAAAATAGATTTAGTAATAACTAGATATTTACTCACTCAGCCATTACAGCGACGTTTTTGCCTGTCAAGTCATTACACAGCTGACATCATAATATTCATGTTGCAAAGAAATCCATACTCGATTAAGCATGTAATGCGCCTGACGCAGCACGAACATGCCTCAGATAAGGTTTGAATAAATGATATATGCTCAAATCAAAATGTAAGACTAATTAATCATCGACTGTTTAAAACTAAATAAAATTTACTGTTTACTTAAATATTGAAAACAATTTCCTGTAAGAGTTGAATGTAGTTTGCAAAATAGAACAAAACGTAACATTCTTTAATCACTATGCATCAAAAAACTATCAGCATTTTCAAAAAATACGTGAATATTCTTAGATATTTTTTATTTTAATTTGGTTCTCATTTGATTGATTTATGAGTAAGGACAAAAATATTTCCCAATTCAATTGTTTGATTTAGACTCAACATTAGGTAACGCACTTGACATGAACAACATCGATTAACTACTAGATTTGTGTTTTATAGCTTTAAATGACTAAATAACTATTTATAATTTACGTTTAAATTTCGTGTTCAATATTTTAAATATCTACTTGTACATATGTACGTCGTCTCTCTATCGACCATGTACCTACGAGAACATTAACATTTATTTACGGGAACATCGTGTAAATAGACACTGTTTACGTAGCTGGTAGAAAGTAAGTTTCGGAGCAATACACCTATTGAGATGTTCACTTGAGTTTGTTAATCGTTTCTCCAGTAAAAAGTATTTTCTACTTTCATATATCTTCTTTAAGTAGAAGAAAATAAATAACTTAAGTTTTTTTTATTAAAAAAATGGTTTCAATTCATTATATTATTTATTTTAACGGAATATGCTTATATAGAGACAAAGATCCATAGTTTAGCTATAATTTATAACGAAGTGTACTTACGAGTATAATGAGATAAATTATACATCTTTACTTTTGTAAAGTTTAATACAAACAAGCGTTTGTTAAAAAGCGTGTGTCAAAATTTAATACAACAATATTTTATAAAATTTATAACGATTTATAGAAAATTTTGAAAAAGACGTTTTCATGAACGAGATAGTGTAAAATTTTCAGTAAGAAGGTTCCAAATGTATATACCCACTATATTTGGTGTTTAAATATTAAACGCCAGTCAGGGTGCATCTAGAGATATAAATCTTTGCCTATAAATCAATAACCTATTTATATGATCTTTTACAGCTTTTTATCATTTTATAGATAGGTACAACATAAATAATTTTCTACTACATAAATTAATAAATTTAAAACTTTTTACGGTATTCTAATAAAAGTCTGTATTTGTGGATTTTTCTGTTGATAAAAAATAGCAATAATTTATATTATTTTAGTATTAAAATTATAGACTATTTTAAATATATATAGTTTGCGATATAATAGAACTATGGAGCGCCGTCGATGTTTTTAGCTTATATCAATTAATATTATTACTTTCATAAACACACTTGAATTATTATTTTCATTTGGAAAGTTTGCACTTGGGATATTGTAGACAAGCGACTCACCCTTGCTTCGCTCGGATTCGTCCCTAGGTACATTTTAATTTTTTTGAGTGGTACCCTAATTCTTTTACTGAAATAAAAGTAGATTAAGTTACTCCTTATAACATCAACTACCTGCCAGTGAAAGTCCCGTCAAAATCGGCCCAGCCGTTTCGGAGATTAGCCGGAACAAACAGACAGGCAGACAGACAAAAATAAAAAAAAATGTTTTTCTTATAAATACCGCAAATCAAAATGTATTTATTAAGAAGCTGTTATTTTGATATTACAAACAGACACTTCAATTTTATATATCTGTATAGATAGATAATCAGTTGTGTACTTTTATTATTGAATTAGTGAACAATGACGCCCATTGAAGTTGCGTTTCGATTGCAAAATGTCACAGCTTTGAGCAATATTGCTGTGAGAATTGTATGTCACTTACAAACAACTAAAAAAAAGTTTTATTATAAAAAGATAACGAACTATCGAGGAATTAATAAGTATGATATTAAGATTGGTTCTTCTTAATTAGGATTAGGAGTTTAAAAAAAAACGATAATCAATAAAAAAAACAAACATGTCATCCTAATGGATTTTGCACTTAGGTGCAAAAGTCAACATCCGACAGGCATTCATTTTCACCGAATGATTTTCAAAAATAAATTCAATGGTGCACTATTTGCATATTATTATTCTATGTTACATACGTACATTATTTTATTCTACAATAAAATATTTAAAATGTTAATTTATTCAATAACACATATTTGTATATACGAGTATAAGTAAAGAGTATAAGAAAGTTAATATTATTAATAACTCTTTTCTTCGAAGTTCTTTTTGCATGTGAAATCACCGTTTATAGAAATAATTTAAGATTATATTTTCATGTATTTAAAGTATATTCTGCATAATTATATATCATATTAAGTTAAATTGTCCATTTTATAAGCAATAAAAAAGAAATTTTGTAAGTAAAGTTACGCATATTTTCAGCCATTTCCTTAGCGTTCGTCGCGGCGCCGTATCTTCGTAACCACTCGACTCTCCACATACGGCAAACCAACTTTCCATCCAAACTTGCCTTTATTGCACAACTACCTTTTTTCACACTAGTACTTGATTCGAATTTCTAAATATCTCGTCTTGAATGTGACGTGAGAAGGAAGAGCGGGCAATTAGCGATTTAACGCGAATTTAAAAGAAGTGTTGACGATTACATAAATATGCTATTTCCGCAGATATAAACGGTGTCGAATGAAATAATAGGTGATTGTGCATGTGATAATGTAACATTAATATATCACTCTTTGAATAAACCGCATATATCCAAAATTAAATTCTAGCTTCGTGGTTAGGCGGGTAGTAAGTACGTCAATTAATTACTTACTAATTTAACTTTGTTTTAAAGAAGCGACTCTTTTTTATTATAACATTTATATATTTCACTAAAGAAAGTTAATTATAACATATTGTTTCAGGTTGCAACCATTTTTTATGATTTACTTTCTTTTATAATTCACGCAACATAGCGGTAATTAGGTACCTATTAATATAACGAAATCTATTTATTTAAAATGTGGAAAGTGATTTTGAATATAGTATGTAAAAGAAATATTGTTTGTTTTAGTATTTATCATTTTATCAGTGTTCAATTCTTTTCAATGTAAATAAGAAGAAAACCCCACACATAGTATATCATTCACATTAGCAAAGCTTTGTAATATCCATATTTGCAACTAGCGACTCACCCTCGCTTTGCTCGGGTTCGTCCCGAGGTTTTAATTTTTAATTTTAATTTTTTTGAGCGGAATCTAATTCTTTTTCTAAAATAAAAGTAGCATTTGTTACTCCCTATAACATCGGCTATCTTCCAGTGAAAGTCCCGTCAAAATCAGTCCCGCTGTTTCAGAAATTATAAGTACCGTATATAATTTCATATGCATTTTGTAAAACGCTGTTATTTTGACATTACAAACAGACACTTCGATTTTATTTATCTGTATAGATTACGACTCAGAGTAGTAAAGATCAATATCCTTTGAATATAAGTTGTGTAAGCGTTGATAAATAGCCTTTACCATTTTTTACATTAACGCTTTCTTCTTTTCTTTCTTACATGCTTGCTCTTGCTTTCTTTCTTACAATAATATGACGTAAATCATAGCACGTTCTCGACAAGTATCGAGGAGCAATATCGTTCGTTAAAGCATCCCCGTGCAAACGGTTACGGTAATATTGGTTGTGTAACTTGTTACGTCGGCTTGGTGATACTACGACTGGGCCGTACCAATTCGACGATTTGTAATTTACTTACCATTTAGATCACTTTGACTTGCGTGTAACCTACATTAATTTAGTCTAGTTTTTGGATTTGTAAATTTGTTTTGGTCTATTTAATATTTTTAATATTCATTGAACCGAAAATTGAACGCGAAAACGCTTTTTATTACAAGTGAGACTAGGTTTCCCCATTTATTACTAATAATATGTATCTGAAGGATTATTGTTTTTGTACCATGACTTATGAGAATATATAAGAATTAGTCGGACTGCTAAATCATATACAATAATTTGTTACAATATCTCTATCTTATATCATTCTTTGAATATTATTATTATATAAGAATGGCTTACGTAGTCATTATTGATTGCACTTAATTTTTAAAATAAATTATTGATATTTATCTTTATTATTTAACTAACATTTCCCGCGGCTCCGCCCACGTTCAGATGACTAAAGACTAAATTCTTAGGTTTTACATATTAGTATATTCTTACATTGCAGTTTTTCTATTTTTTCTCAGAAATGAGTCATTTTCCCGCGGTAAAAATATCCTATATATTGACCCGGATAACCAGCTATCACCATACCAAATTGCATCAAAATCCCTCCAGTGGTTTTTCTGTGATGCAGTAATAGACAGACAGACAAAAATTCTAAAAACTATAGATTCAACCTCTGTATCGATAATAATGTCTATTTCAATAAGATTTTTAATTTTTAGTTACAATTTTATTATATGTATAGATAACTCTCTTAGATTTATGATTTAGATTTTAAGATTTTAAGATTTATTTAATACTCTCTTTGAGATGTCTAAAACCTTAGACTTTCTTCTGATCATGTTTACTGTAAAGCATTTGAAACACCGGGAGCGAAAAGCCAAAACTAATCTGCAAAAAAAAATCCGAAAAAGTATTTGTTTCCCCACACACATCTTTATTTATTTTTCTTTTTTCTAATATTTCAGGTGGAGACAGGTCGTGAAGAATTAAAGAAGGAGCGAGAGATCATGCAGTTGGTGGCTGGGCTGCAACTTAACTCAGATGACGTCGAACGCCGGGAAGTACCGCCACACATGATGCGCGCGAGGCATGGCCCAAGGTATTGAACATGTTCCTAATAATTTTAACACCTCCAGCTTAAATTTCTAAGAAATTAATTAAAATTCTAAGAAATCTATTGTTAACTGACACGCCGGCGTGTCCGCGGTCGTGGAGGGATTAATAATAATAAATAATAATTAAGATAGCGTTAGTATTAGACTTCATGGTAGAGCGACTGTCAGTTATAGAGCGCCTTGGCCTATGCATTAATGGTAAAAATGAAAAACTTTAGTAAAAAATTACATGTCTTTGCTTCCTTGGATTCATATGATGTATGTACTAGTATTGAAAGTACAAATATTCTACGTCACTATCCGGCTAACAGACTATTCTTGAGAAATATATGTATATCTTCACAAATGTCACATTTATTTATGATATTTAGTGGGACAATTGTATAAATAATTTTCTTAATTAAAAATTATAATTATTCAAATAGAGTAAATACTTGTATATGTCGCCTACTAAATGACAAAAATCAAACAGTAAAATTGTAATTTGTATGTGGACCAAATGAGCTATGTATGTCTGATATAATACTACGAGTATATTACAAACTACCGACTCACCCTCGCTTCGCTCGGATTCTTCCCTAGCTTGCTTCCCAATACAAACTTTCATTCCCATTTTCACCCCGTTAAGGGATGCATGATTTCCGAAATAAAAAGTATCCTATGTCCTTCACAGGGTCTCAAACTATCTTCTTACCAAATTTCATCTAAATAGATTCTGTAGATTCAGAGATTACCCCCCACAACGTCACAAACTCACAATCTCACTAACTTTACCTCTTTATAATATTAGTATAGACTAGCGACTATCATCATATCATCTAAATCCCTCTAGTCTAGTGGTTTTTCCGTGATGCGGTAACAGACAGAGGCAGACAAAAATACTAAAAACTATAGATTCGGCCTCTGTATCGATAATAATGTCTATTTCAATAAGATTTTCCAAAAAATATTTAATGTACAGATTCGACTCAGAATTTTATTATATGTATAGACTAGCGACTTACCCTCGGTTCGATCGGGTGCGTCCCTACGTCCGTTTTTATGTTCGGGTGGGTCCCTAAGTCCTTTTTATTTTTTTTGAGCAGAACCTTCATTCTTTTTCTAAAATAAAAATAGCCTAAGTTACTCCTTATAACATCAGTTATCTACCAGTGAAATTCCCGTCAAAATCAGTCCAGCTGTTTCGGAGATTAGCCGGAAGAAGCAAACAGACAGATAGACAAAAATTTAAAAAATTGTGTTTTTCTTTTAAATATCGTATAAATATAAAATTAGTAAAGAGCTGTTATTTTGACATTACAAATAGACAATTCAATTTTATTTAAACTGAGAGCACCTATAAACAAATTATGTATATACATACATACATAATTTGTTTATAGGTGCTCTTTTGTAAGCACAGGATTGTATACTCCTATTTTCTATGTTTGTAGTTATGAGTAATGCCTACTTTTAAAGTTAAAAAAATAAGGCTGAAAGTTTAATAATAATAATAATAATGAACACTTTATTGCACACCACACAAGAAAATAAATAAAGAAGTGAAATACATAACAATAAAAAGATGCACAGCAGGCGGCCTTATCGCTAAAAGCGATCTCTTCCAGGCAACCTTAGGGTAGAGGAATCAGTATATAAAAGTTTAACAAGAACTGTAGAAAAATCAACACTTATGAAATGTATTACTTGAACTTTAGCTCAGGTGTTGCACTGGGACTATTAAATATAATTAATTAAAAACAATGCAGCCGATATGGGTTAGGAAAGTAGGCGCAATTATTTCAATGTAAAATATGCTAACTGGAACAATGTAAGCTATACGCGGCACAAGAACCATGGGTGTGTTATTGAGCCCAATACAATCGAGCAATTGTATGGAAATGGATGGCACTGAGTTATCGGTACACGACATACTTATACAAGTTACCTAACATTAAAATTTTACTATAAAGGAAGCTTGAGAAAATGTTTATTACTTACATACTTATTGTATTTGAAAACAAAGCGCCTTTCTTGCACTAAGAACAATGAAAGTTTACTGTTCTATAGAATTCTTGAGAAGTTGTAAAATTTTTACTATTTCTGTTTCAGATAACATTACCGGAAATAGTGCCATCGAGATTGAGAAACGACCAACGAGCGTTGCTCCCAGGGAGAACCAATCATGCCACGAATATGTGAAACAATTCCACCTATGTACTCGCCTGCACGCTCGTAGAATACCGATTGCTAAATTGAATCGATGTCAATACGACTCGAATCATTTGCATCGATTTGTCACGATTGTTCTTTCCTATACCACATTCGAAACGGAGACAATTTCTATTGTTTCCGATTTATTGTCTTCAAGGCAATGTTTGAAGCAATTTAATCGACTTTAAATTAAAGAATTAGAAACTTTAGTACACAATTTTTCTTCCATTATTGTAATGTTAATTAGTTATCTAATAAAAAATATCTTTTAAGAGTTATTTTTTTAAATAATGTTGCCCTAATACATAATTATGTGGAACAAAATAATAACAAAATGATTTTTCTGAAGGACAGAAATTTTTACAACCATAGAGCAATTAAGTAAGAAAAATTTAATTAGTATAATTCATTCGTCCATTCGTCTCTTATATTTAGATTAGTATTGGTGTTAATAACTTATAAATTGAGGAAAACGTAATAAATAATTTTGATAGTTAATTGGTTTGGGCAATGAAATCACGCGAACATTCTTTTGTTTTAGGGAGAATGTTACTTTTAACCATAAAAAGTCACTTGTAATAAATATTTTTAATGTTAATAAAAATAAGAATCAACAACTATATTTTGAAAGAGTCAATAGATTAAGGTAACACCCGAAAGTTATTAACATGAAATTAATTTTTTTTGTAAAATTTAACAAATTAAAACAAAAATGTTATGCGTAATTAATGAAATTTATCAAATTTATATTATTTTATTTTAATGATGTATAGCGCAATATTTCGTCGTAAAAATACCACTAATTATTGCAAACAATGCGCTATTTTATTCAGTATAATTACCGATTCAGTAGCCGTCGAGGTTCAAGGTGGACTACAATGGTAATTGTTCATAGCATACTTTTCAGAAAATTGAAATTTTTATTTACGCCCATATTTTTAATAGTTTGTATTAATACAGGCCAAAGATCACCTTTACATTATATTCGACCAGATCTTAGAGTTTTGTTTGTCGTAAATATGTTAATAATGGGGATTTTAGCCGTACAGTGTCTAATGGTATAATAAAGGTATAGTCCATATATTGCGTCTACATTGATATTTCGAATCAATTCTGTTAATAAATCATTTATTTTATTTTGAAAGAAATTTCCATATATTTCATATAAATAAAAATATAATCGATAGCATAATACTAAAGTCACCATTGTTTTAGAATAGTCTCATAAAAAAACTAACGTACCTACACAAGATATTAAAGTACAGAAAATAACCTCAAATTATAGAAATAAGTTGGCCTCTTGTACATGAGTATTGTACAAAAATATAGTCTAAGTTCCGTTAAGTTACAAACCAATTGATACAGTTCTATAGATTCTATAGATTATTATTCAATTCTTTGCGTCCGTCTCTTTCCTCAACTAGTTGGTTTTAATAAATACCTACTTACTTTTTCACAATGCCTTGAGAAAAAAAGGGAACTTATGCGTGCTTATTCATAATATATATATATATATATATATATATATATATATATATATATATATATATATATATTTAAAATCGCTACATATTAATTTGTTTGTAACTAAAACATATACCTAATATAGTGTAAACTAATATAATATTTTTTCAACTGCATTTGTTATGTCTTTTGCATACTTTTTACTATTTCGATTGTAACTACCAAGTGTTTTAGCTTTTTTGTATTTAATCGTATAATACGAAATTGCAGCATGTAAATATATAAACGATCACAGCTAAAAAAATTACACATATTTTAGGCTATGAGTGCCATTAATGTTATTTCGTGTGTATTCTTTATAAACATCGAATTATTCAAAATATCTAGTAATTATTATGTAAGTATAAACGTACGTATTTTTAATGGATGAATATAAAATTTGTATATAGGTCCACTGATAAGGTTATGTGTAAGATTAATTCAACGGTTACACAACGATTGTATTCTATACATTCCAATATATTATACATGTATATTAAAATAATTACTTTGTAATTAAACAAATATCAAATGATTGGTTTTATTTATTTTCCTTCAATTCCACAATAAAAAAAAAACAATATTTGAAAAAAAATATAGCCGTAATGGTCCAGTCGTTCTCGAGAATTGCGCTTAGCAACACATTTAGCCATTTGTTTATATTTTTATGATTAGGAAAAAAAACTAAAAAAAAAACTAAAACCGACTTCCAGGTACTAAAATGTAAAAAATAACTAAACGGGGGTTTTCATTTAGAATAGATACCTAATCAGATATTTTCGAAGTCGGTGCCAGCCGACGCATAGGAAATATAATATATTTTGATACGTAAAATACATATATACCTATTAGATATTCATATCTTAAAATATTGTCCGCTGGCACCGACTTCGAAAATATCTGATTAGGTATCTATTCTAAATGAAAACCCCCGTTTAGTTATTTTTTACATTTTAGTGCCCGAAAGTCGGTTTTGTTTTAAAAAAGTTTTTATTTTTATATTTTTAGTGTAGACGTAATAAGCAGGTAATTTGTAGGAAGAAAGTTTTTAATAACATATTCGATTAAACAATTTGTTAAAAAAATATTTATTGTTGATTTTTTTTAAAACCGCTCGACCGATTTCGATAAAATTTATATGGGACCACCTGGGAAGTACACCCTTTCAAACAAAATAAAAATTATCCAAATCGGTTCAGACGTCTTCGAGTAATCAGTTAACATACATAAAAAAAAGATTCCGACGAATTGAGAACCTCCTCGTTTTTGGAAGTCGGTTAATAAGGTACGAATGAGAATATTTCTCCAATAAATAAAACAATGAAATCATATTGAACAATCGAAGATCGCATGATCAAACGAGCTTGATTACAAAAATAAATCTAGTAAGACGTAAAAGTAGACGTTGTTTGACCGTTTCTGGTATACTCTTGTAAAATGATATTTATTGTCTGTAAAACTACTTAGATATATTTAATCGATATACTTTTATTGACGATTGATATAATCAAGTTTTTTTTTGTCTTAAAATTGCTACTAGTTACGTTTGTCTAATTGCTGTTAAATAGCATTTTTAGTTAATACAGGGAGTAATAGCAGAATAAATTTTTGGAAAAGAAACAATGTTGCCTTTACCAGGACATAATACTCTTTAGTAGTAGTAGTATATAGTTTGAAAAAATATAAGTACCTATATAAAAAAACAAGTTACAGGTCGAAAATGTTTTATACTGTTGTAATTTATATAACTAAATTAGCTAATCATCATTAAACTATTATTTGTACGAGAATAAGCACCCACTATTTCTAATGCGAGAGAGTTTAAAAAATGGATAAGCTGGCGAAGATACTTTAGATGCTTAGAGACAAGAGTATTAGCTGGCGATATTGGATAGATACGAATCCATTGTTGTTCTCAATCAGATCAATGCTATTAAATTTTTAGATGATACGTGGCGAAAACTTGCACTATCAATTAAATGTAAATAAGTAAAGTGTATGTGGCGCCATCTATAATGCTTTCTACTTAGTTTGACATACTACTTAGGTATGCTTTCAATATGATAATCTCAACAAGTATTGAAGTACAGAAATGTTGCTAGATTTACAAACAGATGGCGCTGTTATGGTTGATATATAAATTAGGTTCTAAAATAAATTCTTCTTCCTGTTGATAAAAACTGAAGTATTTAAAGAAGCAAATATTCAGTGTTCACCTACGCATCTTTTTAATTTTTATTTGAGAATTTTTGGAGTTTACTCCTTATGAATCGATTTTCATAAAAGGACCCCGCTATGGAAAATTTATAAGGAGTGAAATTAATAAAAGCGTCAACTCAAAAGCAAAAAGCTTTACGTTTTACGTATGGAGGGTAGAGATAAAGAGGAGTCACTTATTTGGGAGATAAGTTGAAAAAGTGTCCGCCTGTAGGCTACAAAAAGGTGGCGCTGGTGTACGATAAACTATGATATAAATATATGTACTGTTGTAGACGGAGTATCCAATGGCCCTTGTTTATTTCTCTGTCTTACTCTAATAATTACTTTTGGCACTTCCTTTAAAATTTATTCTTCGCTACCCCAGCGCCACTCTTATTGGACGCGTCTTCACATAACTTTTTTATACACAGCGATAATACTCCTTTTCTTCTACGTTCCATAGTTTTACGTCATTGTAAATCCAATGTGCCCCATGCACTGACAAATATGGCGGACTGCTTTTTTACGCACCCCCATGATATGGATATCAAATAAAAGGGTTTGCTGAGAAGAATACGAAAAAAAATTTTTTTTTTATAATATAATTAAATATAATATAAGCTATATTGATTATATTGAAATTATTTTTATATAATATTACTAATTTAATTTTAACAATAAAATAAAATATTTTAAATTATCAAATATTCTGTTTCTTGTAGGAGTAAACTCCATTCGTGCGTCGGAGCTGACACACACACTTTAATTAAATGATTTCAAAAAACGATGAGGATTTCAATTTATATTTAAAGCAGGCTATACACGCTAGGGTGAACTAGAAGGTATACCTGTACAAGTAAACTGGACAGGCAAACCGGAGCGTGCATGTTGCTTAACTGTGCAGATTTCTTCGCCTGTACAGGCGAATAGAAAAAATATGAATTTTAGTGTTTTTACCCGTGGGTATACCTGTGCAATTGCACTGTGCAGGCAAACCTGAGCGTGTGGCAGTCGCCTGCGCAGGCTTCAGTTATCCAGTGATTGCAAGAGGGGAAGGACGCGCGCTGCCCTACAATATGTCGTCGTCTCGTAGTCAGAAATCAGTCATGGAAGAGTTTATAGACATACCTATACAAAACTCAGTATTGTCTTTGGCGCGTAAAATCTAAAGATTACATGTTTATTCCACTGTTGCAA